TGCCTTGAGTTGAAGTGTTAGTTCATTTATTTGGGCTCTTTCTAATTTTTTAATGTAGGCCCTTAGAGCTCTAAACTTCCCTCTTAGGACTGCTTTTAATCTGTCCCAGAGGTTATGTTGTGTTGTATTGTCCTTTTCATTGAATGCCAGGAACTCTTTTATTTCTTTCTTAATTTCTCCTTTGACCCACTCATTGTTTAGGAGTGTGTTCGATCGAACTACAAGTTCGTGTAGTGACTAAGGCTTCATCCAGTGTTGATTTTGAGCCTTATTGCTTTGTGGTCTGATAGAATGCATGAAATTATTTCAGTATTTTTGTATTTGTTGAGGTTGTTTTGTGCCCCAGTATGTGGTCAGTTTTGGAGAAAGTTCCATGGGGTGTTGAATAGAAAGCATATTCTTTGGTGCTTGGGTGGAATATTTGATAAATGTCTGTTAGGCCCATTTGATGTATGGCATTGTTTGAGTTGGGGTTAAGTCCTGTAGTATTGTTTTTATGAATTTGGGTGCACCAGAGTTTGGTGCATATATGTTAAGGATTTTAATGTCTTCTTGGTTAAGTGTTCCTTTGATCTGAATGAAGTGACCCTCTTATCTCTTCTGATTTGTTTTACTTTGAAGTCTATTTTGTCAGATCCTAGAATTGCAACCCTTCTTGTTTCTTAGTGCCATTTGCTTGGAATATTCTTTTCCATCCTTTTACCTTAAGGTAGTGCTTGTCCTTGAAGGTGAGATGGGTTTCTTGCAGAAAGCAAAGAGATGGATTTTGTTTCTTAATCCATTCACTTAACCTATGTCTTTTGACTGGGGAGTTCAGTCCGTTGATATTTAAGGATATTAGTGAAAGATGTGTATTGGTTGCTGTCATATTGATTTTTGTTTGTTTCTCTAATTTTGTGTTTCCTTGATCATACCTTTATTTATTTTCTTTCTCCACTTTATTTGTTTCTCTCTCTGCTCTGTGTATTGCTTCAAGTGTTCTTTGAAGGGCTGGTTTTGTGGATATGTATTCTTTCAGGCTATTCGTGTCATGGAAGATTTTTCTTTCCCCCTCAACTATAATAGACATTTTTGCTGGGTATAGTATTCTGGGCTGGCATCTGTTGTCATGTAGTACTGGAAATACCTTGGTCCAGGCTCTTCTGGCTTGCATAGTTAGCATTGATAAGTCAGCTGTGATTCTGATGGGCTTTCCTTTGTTTGTGACTTATTGTTTTTCTTTTGCTGCTTTCAGTATTCTCTCTTTGTTCTGTACATTTGGTGTTTTTACTATGTCATGGGGAGTTTCTTTTCTGATCCTGTCTATTTGGTGTTCTATGTGCTTCCTATATTTGTATGGGGATGTCTTTCCTTAATTTTGAGATATTCTATTCTACAAGCCTGTTTAAGATCTGGTGAACACCATTAACCTGAAATTCTTCTGCTTTCTTTATTGCTATGATCCGTAGATTTGGCCTTTTCATGGTGTCCCACATCTCTTGCATATTCCATTCCTGTGTTTTTTTAAATTTTCCAAAATCTTTATTTAAGTGGTCCAATTCTTCAACTTTATCCTCCAGTGCTGATATTCTGTTTTCCATTTCATTCATTCTAGAGGTGAGGCTTTTTCCTATTGTTTCAAGTTGGCTTATTGAGTTTTACACTTCCTTCTTCATTTCTGCCTGAGTTTTCTTCAATGTTTCTATCTCTTTTGTGAATTCATTCAAAAGTTTATTCCCGTCTTCTTTTAGTTCTTTGATTTGTTTGTTCGTGTGTTCTTTAAATTCATTGAATTCCTTGATCGTGTTTATGGTTGTTCTTTTCAATTCAGTGTCTTGGGTTATCTCTAGGGGTTCTCCTTGTAGACCTCTTCTACTGAATTGGTGGAGTTCGGTGGGGACATAGTTTTTTGGCTTTCCATTTTATTATTGTTTCATTGTGGTTTTGGCATGTGAATTTCTTTTGTTGTTTATGATTCTGATATGAGAATTAAGTTGAAGTATGCTTCTGTTTGCGGGGGGTTGTTTGTTTTTGTTTGTTTTTTGTTTTGGTATTTTTGAGACAGGGCTCCCTGCAGCCCTCACTGACCTGGGACTCACTAAGTAGTCCAGGCTGGCCATGAACTCACCGAGATCCACCTGCCTCTGAAATGAAATGTAAAAAAAAAGAAAGTGTGCAAGGGTAATCTTTCTATGTACAAAGAACACCACATGCATAGGCATAGTGTTGAACACTATGAACATTTCCAATAATGTTTAGTGAGGCTAATATTGTGCTGTTTGAGAAAGAGCAGTCAGTTGGTATTTTTAGCCACCATATATGCGTTTGTATGCTACTCTTTGGTTTTTAACTTATTAATAATAAGAACTTTGCCTCTATGGTTATAGTTTAAAGGAATAATTGAAGAATGGAAAATAATAAAATGTGAGGACTTGTCATTTTATGCCTAGGTATTCCTCATGCCTCTATTTGTTTTCTATTTGTGTGTTCTTTGGGACAGGGAGTATATTCTGTAGCTCTCTGTCTTATGATGACTAAAGGCTGAGCCTGGCCCGGATATGCTGAATGATCAGTTGTGCTCATGATCCACTTAGCGAATATTTTTAACTCCAACATATATAAAGTATTTGGTGTCATGGTAAGTAAAAATGATGTGCTACAAAGCTACTCTTCAAGGAGTTATTTACTTTAAGGCAAAAAACATACCAAAGATTTTGTCTCTAGAGACAACTGTTCTGTCCTCTGTGCTTTCAGAGCTTACCTGTCAGAGGAAGCAAACAGTAAAAGTATAAATAGTGGGGCGTAGAGTATGCTAGACAATGATAATAGTAAGGATAAAAGGAAGGGGATATAAATGATCAAAGAATAAAGAAATAGAATGATAACCCTTATAGGATTGTACTGAAGCTAGAATGAGTTAACATATGTATGTATAAAGTATTCAACACTGTTTCTAGAAGTTAGTAATATAGGTCTAATATTATTTGTGCATTTCGCTAGCATTAGCACCATAGTCATCACTTTTACATCACTCATGGATTTTCTTTATAAAGAAGAATGTAGTTTGCAGTAGCTTGAAACTGCTTTATCTAATACTCCTGTACCTATCTCTAGCTCCTTTGGACCTATTTGTTTGCTTCTTTATTTTTGTTTTTAAAACAGAATCACCTATAGCCCAAGCTGGCCTCAAATTCTTTGTGGCCAAAATTGACTTTGAACTCTGGATGCCCTAGCCTCCCAACTCCCAGGTGTTACAGGCATGTAACAGGCATGCACCACTGCACCCAGCTTTCCTATGGGCTCTTGCTTCCATGCATTTATTTCTATTATCCCTTTCTTATTGAAATGAATCATCATGCTTTGATGGTACTTTTCCCAGATACGGCAAGATAGCTCTGTAGATATCACATCATCACGTTCTGTTTCATGAATCGGGTGGGCAATCCGCAGCTTCCTGTGGATTAATTAATGCTTCATCACCATCCCAAGGTTAAAGGTCTGACAAAATGAGACCTTTATGTTTGCTTATCAACTAAAACTGAGTACAATATTGGAAGCATTATCATTAGGAAGAAAAGTAAATTCATTTTATTAGTCTTTTGGGATGGAGATCTTTCACATGAATTTGAAATTTCAAGTCCCCTGACAACCTTTCTTTGCCTCTCTAAGCTCAATACAGCCCTAGATGTAGCTAGCACACAGTGCCACTTATCCTTGAGAACTGGCTTAATTCTTTGTACTCCTTGAACCTTCCACATTTCTGGCTGCCATTGCAGGACCGGGCAGTGTTACCTGACTGCCCCCCACCCACACATACACATTCCCCTGCCCAGGCAGTAAGTACCTTGAGCTGTGGACTGTATTTTCCTCATGTTGGGATTTCCAGTGGCCATCACAGTGTATCACATAAATGTGGTGGCCCATGAATACTTAAGACATTAAATATAATGCACAGAGTCCCTCTGGTATATAAGGATTACTGAAAAAGCCATTGAATTTTGTCTCATGTCCCTTCACCTACTCCTTTGTCTCTCTTGCCTGCTTTCAGAGGAGCAGCAGTGTTTAAGGATGCTGCCACATTCTGTCCTTCACATTCCCCTGTCCTCACCTGGCCCAAAGTAATTTCTGGTTTTCCAGTAATGATGTTGTTGGAAGCAAGTGGCACTGATCCAAAAGAAAACAAAAAAGCAGTAGACTGGCTGTCAGGGAGGCCCTGCAGATGAGGGTTACCCTGTGGAATAACTAGGGTCCAGGATGTGGAGTTCACCATTCCTCTCAAGAGGCATGGGCCTCTGGTCTAACACATATCATCATTATTACAGAAACTGAATTTCCATGCCAGGTAGTTTCTTTGTGTACGAGTTTGTTTTCTGACTGAAATACTTATACCTACTATCCACATCACTATCAGAACCTACAAATTCTATAAAATACTCAGAAGGTTTTCCAGTGCCAAAGAACTAGAACAAAATAAGTTAAACTACTATAAATATAATTTTTCCCAAGCTGAGGAAAAACCAATGTCTCTGAAAGTCGAATAGAGAGTAGAAGCACAAGAGTACTGTGGTTTGGCTTTTGTTTTTGTTTTCTTATTTACTAATAGAAAAAAAATTTAAAGCAGGGTAAAATCAGTAACATTTTGTTTATCTTAATAATGAGTAAATTATATAATTTGATTCTGTAATTTTCCAATCCCAGTTGAATTTTGGAGATAATGCCAATGTGATGTTGCCAACAATGAAGAAAATTTGTTGTTTGGGGCTGCTCCATATATTCAGTAACTCAAGAATCACCCTGGTCTTAGGGCCAGCTCAGTTTTATTCCTGAGACAGTTACCCATGTAGCCAGCTTAATGGTGTTGCTACACATACTGATAATAAATGAAGCTTGCCCAGAGCCCACCATCTGCCCCTCTGAAGAAATGAAAGTATAGGCTAAGTGATGAATAGGAGTAAATTGTACCTCTTCTTGAGGCTATAGTAAGTCCTTCAACCCTTACCTGAAGGTTTTTTCTGTTCCAGACCTTGGAAACACAAATACCTGCAGAGGCCAGCCTGGTGGAATGAAGCAGGAAGCCGCTGGTGTGAAGTGGAGACCCAAGCCCTTTCTGGAGGAGCAACCACTGCTCTGCTCCAGATAATTGTGGCAAGGCAGGAATGTTGACCTAGTGTTCCCACACTGTCCAGTTTCTCAGGTAAAACAGGAAGTTTATATTTTTATGTGAAATCTTTTAAATTAAATATTGTTCTTAAATTGTGATTATACATCTTTTTTTTTTTTTTTTTTTGCTCTTTTTGAGACAGGGTCTCCCTGTAGTCCAGCTGTCCTGAAACTCACTATGTATACCAGGCTGGCCTTGAACTCACAGAGATCCACCTGCCTCTGCCTCCCAAGTGCTGGGACTACAGGCATGGGCCACCACGCCCTGATTCTACATCTTATACAAACAAAACTCTTTCTTTTTTAAGCCATCAGTCAAGGGTGATAGATAAAAGTCAATACTGCAACAAACCAAACTCTTTTTAAGTTGGATTTGGCCCAAAGTCCTCCTGCTTGTAAGTCATGTTATATTTTTAAATTTATTTGCTAGAGACTATATTTTCACAGGTTTGACTTTTCTTTGTGTGCTGGATAGCTTTAGTTGTCAACTTGTCATACCTGGGTAGAGGGAACCTCAGTTGGGGAAGTTCCTCTATTGTACTGGCCTGTGGCCATGTCCATGGGGCACCTTCTTTATTGTTGAGTGATGTGAGAGGGCCCAGAGCACTGTGGGTGGTGCCACCCCTGGGCAGGTGGGCCTGTGTTGCATAAGAAAGCAGGCTGAGCAGGGGCCAGGGGAGCAATCCAGGAAGCAGCATTCCTCCATGGCCTGTGCTCCAGCTCCTGCCTCCAGGTTCCTATCCTGAGTTCCTACCTTGGGCTTCTTGATGAATTGTGACCCAGGAGATGTGAGCCAATAAACCCTTTCCTCCGCAAGTTGGCAGTGGTCAGAGTGTTTTGTCACAGCAATGGAGAAACAGACTAGAACACTTTGATATGACCTCTAAGTTACTTCATTTTGAGATTTTGAAATTTTATTCCAAGCCTCCAACTGGAATGCTTTGCCTTTGGTAACCACATTCTCACTGCCATTCTCAGCACTCCAGTAAGTAGCCAGTTCCATGCTAAATGAAGTCTCTTCAAGCCACTCACTATGATCCCACAGAACATCTGTGGATAGCACTACTCATTTTGTTTCTGATATGTAAGCTTAAGCACAATAAAAGATCATTTGTTTCATTGTAGCTTGTATGCTTTAGAGACTCCTCTTTCCAAAATACAAGCAGAAGCATTTTCCTTCCACTTATACCTTGCAAGATTTTATCAGCATTTTATTAGACCATAGTTATCCTATGTTTTATCATGTTTGCTGGAGATTGATTGGACCCATGTGATTTGATAGATAGATAGATAGATAGATAGATAGATAGATAGATAGATAGATAGATAGATAGACAGACAGACCTTTGGATATATCTCTCAATGACTAAATTGTTGTCTCCTTTTTAAGACTTACCTGATTTTTCACTTACAATGATTTTTAGACATAAACATAAGATCTGAAATTATGAAATACTGGAAGAAAAGAGAAGTGGTTCATGACATTGAGCAAAGCTAGGGCTTTTTTTTAAAGATAGGACTGTAAAAGCACAGATAGAAAAAGCAAAAACATAGAAAATGGTGTTGAATCAAACTAGAAGGTTTCTGTACATAAAAAGAAACAATCAACAGAATAAAGAGACAACCTATAGGATGGGAAAATGTTTGCAAACTATACAACTGACAAAAGTATAATTACTCAAAACATATTTTAAAAACTCAGAGCAAAACAAATAATCCAATCTTAAAGTGGCAAATAACCTGAAAAAAACCCTTTTTCAAAAGAGAACTTACAAATGGCCTGCAAGTTTATGAACCATATGTTCAGAATCGATAATCAGAGAAATTCAAGTTAAAACCACAGTGAGACACCATTTCACTCCAGCAAGCATAATTGTTATTGAAAAGATGAAAAAGATAATGAGTGCCAGAGTAGGTGTGGAAAAAGGAGAGCCCCACAGTTAGTGAGAAAGCAAATTAGTATAGATATTATAGAAAAACAATGTGAAGATTCCTCAGGGAACCAGAACTGTCCTATATCGCAGCAATCACAGGACTGGGCTTATATCCAAAGGACAGAACCAGTGTGTTGAAAAGAAGTCCATATTCCTGTATTGATTGTAGCACTATTCACATAGCTCAGATATGGACTTTGTGTATATATCAACAGACGAATGGATATAAAGGAAATGTATGATATATACACAGTAAAATAGAATTTAGCAATTAAAAAGGATGAAATCCTGGCATTTGCAGCAACATGGATGAACCCAGAAGACATTACCTTAGATGAAGTAAGTTAGGCACAGAAAGATAAACACTACATGATCTCATTCATTTGTGAAATATAAAAAAGTTGATTTATCACACAGAAGTTTACTGGTGGCTATCAAAGGCTGGGGTGGCTATGAAAGGACAAGAAAGCAAGAGATATTAGTCAAAGGAGACAGGATTACATTTACATGGAAGTAATAAACTTGAAGAGATCCACTGGATCAAAAGATGACTTTAGTTAATGAAGATACTCTAATTTGGAAAAAAACTATAGTGATTAGATACTATATGCTCAAATCACGGAAATGATTATTATGTGAGATAATTTTTGTTAATTGGCTAAACATAATGCATATAGTATACTTCAAAGTACGTTGTTTGAGGAAGAAATAAACAATATGCTCTATCGGTCTAAAAATAAAAATATTTTAGCAAAATAATAGGGGCTGGAGAGATGGCTCAGCAGTTAAGAACACTGGCTGTTCTTGCAGAAGACCCAGGTTCAAATCCCAGCACCCATATGGCAGCTAACAACTGTCTGTAACTCCAGTTCCAGGGGATCTGACAGTCTCTTCTGTTCTCTGCAGGCATTGCATGACACAGGTGCACTTACCTACGTGTAGGCAATATACACATACACATAAAATAATAATAATAAAATATGTTTTAAAAAAAGAAAATAACCGACTATCCTCAGGCCTCTTGGGGTAAGTCTATAGCGCAGCTCTCCACGCCCGGCCCCCCTAAGCCACATTCCCCCTTCCACCCCCCCCGCCATTCTATACTCCTAGTTTGGGCCCTGCACCATCCCTAGTCTTGGGGCCCCAGACACCTGGGGAACCAATACTGCTTCCTGATCCTTCTCACCCAGACCAACTCAATCCCTTTCTTGGGCTCCAGGAGCACCGCTTCTGGTCCTGGCCCTGCCCTCACCCCTCTCTTCTTCCCTGGGCCTGCACCACCAGCTAACTCTCCTAATGTTGGACCCCCAGACTGGGGTACCCAACGTTCACGGGAGGTCGCACCCCAATAACTCAGTCCTCAAATCAGGAGATGCCACAAGCATGAGGATTTATTGGCGTTTTGCAAAACGGACTCCCACCTCACTCGGAGGACAGAAGTCCAGAGCCCAGTTCACAGGTTTCTTTTAAAGACAAGCGGCGGCTATGTGCCAAGCAGAAAAGCGGTGGCTATGTGCCAAGCAGAGGTAGGGGGAATTTCTGGGATGATTTCCAGCTTGGGCAAAGAGCATGAAAAAGGTCAGCTCAGCTTGTTCTTTAGAATTATTTTTTATTTTTACTTCTTTATATTTTTCATTTTTACTTTCTTGTACAGTTTTTCTCAGGCCTGGGGGATTTTAGTTTAAATCCATTATTCTGGGGGCTTTGGATCCATCATTTCCCCCCTTTTCTTATAGTAAGATTTTAATCCTAAAATCTATAGATCTTCTGTTCTTTTTGAAGCATGGTATTGCTGAGTAAGAACCAGAGCCTGAGTTACTGATAATCGGTCTCTGATAAATTGTAGCAGTCTATTGAGGATGCATGGTCCAAAAGTTAAAAGAAGGAGAAAAATTACTAGGGGACCTATTAGCGTGGATACTAAGGTAGTTAACCAGGGGCTTTTATTAAACCAGCCTTTAAACCATCTCTGTTTGGATTTACATTCTTTTTGTCTTTTATCTAATCTCTGACGGAGTTTAGTCATAGAATCTTTAACAACCCCTGAGTTGTCAGCCTAAAAGCAACATTCTTCTCCCAAGGCTGCACAGAGTCTTCTTTCCTTGAGGAAAAGCAGATCTAGCCCCCTCCTGTTCTGTAATACTACTTCTGAGAGGGAGGTTAGAGATTTCTCCAAGAGGGTAATTGACTGTTCTATTGTTCTAATATCTTCATCTACAGCCATCTGTAAATCTGCATAGTATTGTGGTCCTTGTATTAGTGCCGCTCTTCCAGTTCCTAT